TAAAAACTTACTGGCGCCTTGTTTCTAGTAATTTGTTCAGAAGAGGGGCTAAGGAACATAATTTCTGTTTTCACATTCAGGGTAAAGTGACAATTTCTATGCTCGCACTTATAACTCCCCCGTCTTGTTCCCATAAGACCAGCCCCCCCCCCCCTGCTCTTCAAAAACAAACTAACAACCAAAACCAACCAACAAAAAACAAACAAACACACACACCAACACACAAACAAACAAATTTAACTCCCCCACATTTTTTTTTATAGTAGAGGGTTTTACGGCGCTCGCAACTGCATAAAGTCATATGACCGCCATCCCCCCAAAAGAAAAAAACAAAACAAACAAACAAACAATCAAATATGAAAAGAAAAAAAGCCTGGCGAACTTTTGCTACATGGTGCGGTCTGCTGCTTTTGAAATGCTCCATCCAATGTTTCAGAGCTGCTGTCCTTCTCTTCTTCCGGTGAGCTATGGCTGTCGTTGTGGTGACATGCTATTATTATGTTTATGCTAACGCTTACACTTTATTGATATTCTTCAGTGTCATGTAGTATCACACTCCTACTAAAAAGGAGTCAGATTTCAGCCTGGCTCCTGCTGTTAGTCGTTTGAAAGAGGTAGCCTGTGAATTTATTATGCTCTTGCCGTTCCTTGGTATGTGTAATAGTACGCTTCTGTTCTCTCAAGTTGCTTCGACAGGTTATGCAGAACTAGTATTTTCTTTTATATGTTTACTGTTAACGCATGAGCTCGTGGCACTTACACCAAGCTTTACCGAAAAATAAACCTGTTGGTCTGTAAGCAAAACCTCTGCTTTATACACTAAATTTTATTCTTGAGTGCATGTAAGAAACTTAAATTCCTACCTCATTGATTAATCGTGGACAAATGAAACCACCCAAAAGTATGCTCCAATGCCCCAATGAACCTCAACCGATTTTAGACTAAGCAAGTTATACGAGCTTTCTGGGACAGATACTCTTACAGTCTTATCTCAGCTGGACTATAAAGTTAAGGAGCCTCGCTTTAAATCACCAATATTTTTTTTAAACGGCGTCAGTTGCAACTAGAACTCACAGCATAGATCTAGTATAAATCAGTATTTTCAACGAGTGTGGTTTATCTTCGTATTATAAGTGGCTGTGTCGGTGGTTTGAAGTTACCGCAGGTTGGTTCTCCTTCTGTTGTTTCTCCTGGCTGTCTAGAAACGAAAGAGAGCCAGAAACTTTCCACCCTTGGAATCTTCCAACAACACTTGTTATCGACCGGGAGAGTGGCACGGTAAGGGCGCAGAGTACGTTTAGGGCTTCCAGGTATCCACCAAAAGGCGAGCTAATCTCAACCAATGCTTAAATAGCTTACTGCTTGTTGAGGGTCCTTCGCTGACGCTGCCACCGGCTAATCGTGAAAACAATTATGGTTAAAGCCGTTCCCAGCTCCTTTGTTATTAATATACAAAAGCTTCCAAATGAGCGCCCCGTCGCTCTCCTATATTTGTGTATACAAATGAACCTTGCAAAATAGGGGCAATCGTTAATCTGGCTGTAGGCTGCGTTCTAATTATGATTACTGTTATAAAATACTTTGACTCATACACTTCTAATACTGGCTTTACAGGAGAAAAACAGGAAGCACTGCTTAAAGGCATAATATTATAGTGGGCAGGATAAGTGGGTTACTGCGAAGGGGGCAAAGGGGGAGTGGTAGCCCGTTGGGTATTCAGGTTACTAACAGTCATAAGGTTGTAAGGTAAGGAATACCTGTTAAGCCAAACACCTGTGAGCTATGGTGTTCAAGCTTATTTATGGATAACATATCGCCCGTGCTTTGGTACTGGTTCATTCTGCTTACAGACATCAGTGTGGTCAACAGAGTTAAAACACACTGTTCAAATACGTCATTACCTTTTCGTTTTGTGTATTTTCTGAGTAATGGAATAAATCCCCGAAGGTTAAACGATTTGGAATGTAAGTAATTGGATGGAAAGTCTTATTACGGTTAGTTTTGAGTTGATCTAGATTTTTCCTGCCTATGTTTGGGACAACTCGTCTGTCATTCCTAACTTGACAGTCACTGTAAGAGACACCTATCCACACAAAACCCGCAGTGTTTTCTCTATTTTGATAACGAGCTTATAATTGTATTCTTTTAGCTGATATATCCATTTCGTACACTTGTTGCTTAAATAAGATCTCTGTTTAAAACGGAATAAAAAGTGCATTGCATATCCAGTGCCGGCATTTGGAGGGGGTCACTGGTCGCTGCTACTTTTGTTCTTTTACTTAACTCTTAGTATACAGAGCGCCAATTCAGCTGGTTCACGACTGTATCACTCGGTCTACAAAATCCCAGCCGACCCGTCTTATCTCTAATCAAACTCTCATATTTATTGCTTGGATAACTAATTTCTACTCAGTTTAGTGTTCAATTCAAGCAAGTAAGTTAAATAGAAGCCGAGTCATACGGCGATTTGCGATGCTGAAAATGTTATGACAAAATTGGTTACATATTAAAGATTAATAACCTTCCATAAACTATATAAGAGTTAAGTTGTTTATATCGATCTGTCTTGCTTTTCCAACCTCTAATAAATAGCTTTTATCGTAATGGTGTGTTTCCGTTGTATTGTCGAGGAGAAAAACGTTGATCTTTTATAGGTAAGCCTCTTGGACAGGGTTATGGTATTTTAGAAAATGAAACGCGAGGGAGGGAGCTGGAAGTTGTCGCTCGTACCTGTGATTATCTCGAACAGGTGATATTATTTGGAGTAGGTTTGGCTGCATCAGATACAGGCTAAGATTACAAATTCGGATAATAAAGGGTTTCACATAAAGTGTTCACAGGGGTTTGCCAAATATCTTTTCTTTCCTTTTGGTCGTTCTCTATAATTTTTTTCTAATCATTCAATGAGGGAGTTACAAGCGGGGACAGGTCAGCTTAATATGTTTCAAAAAGATAAAATACCACTTTTATTTACTCCCGAAGGAAGTGTTTTTGTTTTAGTAAGATTTTACGCACTTTCAACACAATAGGGTCATATAAGTGCTGAAGATTACAAGTGTTATAAGAGAGTGATAAACCCAAAAAAGAAGGACGAGAGACCTTTAACGTAATACTGATTATATTAACCAAACATAGATTCATGAATACATTGATATATAGGTGCACACATACCGACACATAACAATACTATAGTTGTGCTAAAAATACGCCATTGCTGGTTGCCACTGTGCAGCGCCCCGCTTTTTGAGTTAAGGTTATCGTGTTTTTCTAAAAAGCACACCCCAGTGACCACCCATCTGACTCTTGCTTGACATTAATTCTGAGTCTAGACTCACAAACCGCTCGGCCACTGGAGCTTTTGAAGGGGTCTGTTGTGTAACAGTTTGGCTCTTCACTTCATCACGTTGAGGACATACGTTTAATTTCCTAGTAGAGGTCTTTTTATCGCCCATCTTGGTCTGTCTGCCGGGATGTTGTACTTCTCTTAGCACGGGTTGACCCTAACATGCAGGGCTGAAGCAGCCCACCTCCTAAGTGACCTAAATCTAGTCGAAGGGGAACTAAAACGTTTATAATTTCACTTACAATAGCAATTACGTCGGTCAGCTCTGTGTGGAATGATAGTGCCCAAAGTCGTTCCAAATAAATTTAATTGCCACCCAGGGTATTTCTATGAAATGTCTGATCATTTGAAACTTTTGTGATGTCGGTGTCTACAATTACGACGAATAACAAAGCCAGGAGGGGCGTTCTGAAATAGCATACCCTTTGTGGTTCTATCATTCCCAGCCCACCCCATTTTCTCCCTTTTAGAGAAAAATTTGATCGAAAGAAACTATATAGTCCCCAGGGGGTCACCACTTTTTATTTCCGTCTCGAACAGCTTTCACGACAGTTTTCTTTTTTTCTCTTCATTTCTTTCGTCCTTCCTTCCTTTCTTCCTTTTTTCTTTCGTCCTTCCTTCCTTGCTTCCTTTTTTTCTTTCTTAATTTATTTCATTTTTTTGAATGTTTCTTTCGGCATATTGCCTTAATAATTGTACTCATTGATACGTCTCAATTCTTTCCCACCGATTTGCAGTTAATCGTCTTACTTTCGCTCTACCAGTCTTGAATGGCCCACCATTGTGTGGATGTGTTTCTGCAACTTCAACAAACTACGAGTTTTTCACTGTGTCGACTCCCTGTGATTTCCTTTCAGCCGTTATGGAGCGAACAAAACCTCGTGCTAATATATCGTTTGCTTGGCGCGCTTAGAAGGATTGGAACACTTTTAGCTCAATTTGCGTATCGTTTGATATGCGTCGCAAAAGTCAAAGAAATATCTATTGGTTTAATGGATTTGCAAATAATAACTGACAACGGAAAGCTTTTTCCAGCCTTTCCTGCAGCGAGGGATGAAATCAATATTCTACTTGCTTATCCATGTCTCCGATTTTTACTAGATCGTAGCGATTCTCTTTTCCCTCTATCGGACTTACTTTGTTGTTCTCTATCTCTTTCTCTCTTCTCGTTATTGTACACTCTCTTCCTTTCTCTCTCTCTCTCTCTCTCTCTCTCCCCTCCCCCCTTTTTCACCCGTTACCTCTTCCCTTCTTTACACCCGCCCGCTCTCCTTTTAATCTCCTCTTTCTGTCGCTCTCACCGTCTACGGTTTATCGTTAATAATGTTCTTAACGCCACTGAAAACGCACTTAATACGGCAATTCAGCACATGCTAGACATGAGAGGAAAACCTTGGATCTGGAGAACAGCCGAATCTATTGACATTAATACAAAAGGCGAACTCAGCAAGGCGATCGTTTGACAATAGAGCATAAAAACTATAAGCACAGAGGAGTCGAATGAAAAGCTTTCCTGCCACAGAGAAAGTAAGCGAAGCAAAGAGGAAAGCGTAGCTCAAACGTGTGAGAGTGCCAAAATGAGCCAACGGAACTCTGTTAGCACTAACTTTTTGTTTGATTTTGCTCTGAGGCGCCAGAGTTTACTGTCTCTCAACAGGGTGTTTGGAATGGGAGAGACCACTCTCGCAGGCGTCTCGAAAGGAGGCGGTCAACACCACCCTGGGGATAAAAGCGACGAGCACCCGAAGGCTTCACGTTGGAGTCCAGGCGTTTCAGAGAGGAGCAACTCAAGTAAGTCGAGTTTCTCCCTGGCTAAGATGGCCAGCGAAAAGCGAGCGAGACGGGTGAGATTTTACCGCAACGGCGACCGCTTCTTCAAAGGGATGATTTATGCAGTGTCCACAGAGAGATTTCGGTCGTTCGAGAACCTTCTCACATCTCTGACAACGTCATCGTTGTGCGACAAACGCGTGATGCCCCAGGGAGTCCGACACATCTTCTCGGCGGACGGCGCGAATCGGATCACCAGTCTGGACCAGCTTCAGGACGGGGAGAGCTATGTGTGTGCTTCCAACGACGTTTTCCGCACTCTGGACTACTCAAAGAACGAGGACCCGGACTGGAACAGAAGCCTTAGCGCCAGATCCCAGACGCGGGAGACGCCATACTACCAGCCTAACCAGCAGCTGGAGAGACAGTCTTCTCAGAGTGACCAGCACCGCTCCTCGTCTTCACAGAGTCAACACAGGCCTGGCAGCTTGGCAGGGAGCAGACCAAACTCGTCCCGGGCCAAACCCTCCAAGGTGAGACCTATTCTGACATTACACTACAAATAACATTTTGTTTTTAAGTGTAAGGTATTGTTGGTATGTTACCTTTCAGACTGTTATTTATTGGTACTTAAAAATGTCCTTACTATCGTCCGGACAACACCAACTGGACAACTTGTCGACCTCATTACACAGAAACTAAATGGCAAATTGCCTTGATTTTTTTTGCGTGTGCTTCTGAATTCCAAAAAACCATAAAGAATCACGATTTTTGTGCATATGCGACAAATATAAAGAGGTGCTTTTTATATAATCATTAGTACTTTATTACAGGCTGCGAGGGGATTTTTTAAATAGAGCAAGAACGGAAGTTGAATGTTAGTTTTTTTGTTTGTTCAATCTATTCTCTTTTTTTTTTATAACTGACTGTGTGCCGCAAAACTGAGTTGTTTTCAGTCCAGCGGTTAGTGGGTAATAGTGGGTTTGTTTAGATTGACTGGTGATTGTGATATACAATAAGACATTTTTTTTCTTCACAGTCTTTGAGATCGCTTGTGTTTCAATTTGCGGTCGCTTTTTCATTCATTACCATGGTTAGATCGCTTAATTTACAAATCAGAAAACAAATCTCCAAAACACATTGCCATCGCTTAATTTACAAATCAGAAAACAAATCTCCAAAACACATTGCCTTAAATCTACTGAACTATTAACTACTGTGTTATGTCATGTTAATAATGATAATAATAATAATAATAATAATAATAATAATAATAATAATAATAATAATGATAATAATAATAATAATAATAATAATAATAATAATAATAATAGAGGTGTATAATACTTCCAAAATACAACTTTCATATTTTGGTGGTTCGAAAATGTACATGTATGTGCTCTGCCTTGGACCTGCGCGGGGAATGTGGGATGGGCGGTGGGGGTGAGGTGCCCAGTGAAATGCCTAATGCTTTAAAACCCTCTACTATAAAAACAAAACACACACACAAAAAAAACTCAACACCACACACTTTTTATAGCAATCACGATACAATGTGAAAGTCATAACAATACAAGGTCATAACAATACAAGGTCTCGTTGCAGCGGCTCAGCCAGAAATTTCAGGGGGGGGGGGTACAGTTTGGTTAATCTGCAATTAATTACTAATGATTATATAGGCAGCACCTCTTCCTATTTGTCGTACATGCACAAACATCGATAATTTTCAGGTCTTTTAGAATTCAGAAGCGCATGCAAAAATTCAGAGAAATTCGCCACTTAAAGTTGGTGTTTTGAGGTCGACAAGTTGTCCATTTGTTGTTGCCGGACTATAAGATTGTTGTGTCTCTCTGTTGTAACAAAGTACATTGTATTTCGTTTTCCATTCTCTAATATTATTAAGGCGCCATATTTCTTTTGTTTCCTCTTCTTTCACAGTTGAGACTTTTGTTCTTCTTTGAGTCATATTATTATACTTGTCTCTGTAACACTTTAGCTCACATTTTAATGTGGTTATTTCCTTTCCAGCTCAATGACTTAATGTGCATGATTTACACCCGTGGATGACCATAGGGGATATCAGTATTCCTAGTATTTATTAGTACTCTGTCCTGGACTTTTCAGTTATTTTATCTTCTACATCGTTTTGAAAGACATCTTTTTATTTCTATTCGTTTGTTGACATCTCCGTACTTGTGCTTACAGAGCTTTAATATTCAAGTCTTCCCCAATTCTCAATAGTTTGACTTTCAACAGTTATACTTGGTTCCCCTTCTGCCGTCTAATATACAAAACACTTTGCGAAACTGTATTCTAGTTTGTGAATGCTCTGGTATAGCATGTTTAGCGAGTATTCAAGGCTCTCACTAATTGGCTTTGTCCAAACGGGGACAAACGTTATCTTAGTAAGTCCTTTCTCTTACATGAACGTACATTGCATAATATAGAGGTGTTAAATCCGTACCACACTTTACCATACACTTAGACTGGCGTCTGTGCTGTGGTAGGATCGCTAGGTTCTTCGCCGTCTCACGAAGAAGACGCAATTTCGATCACCGATTGAGGAAACTACTTATCCATCAACTCTGCCCGTCTGCTGGTATGTTGTATCTTACTCCGCCCAAGTTGGTCCTAGCAGGAAGGGTCAAAGCGGCCCGACTCCTCCTAAAAGATGTAAATGGAGTCAATAGGGGTGAAAGATACTTCCGGTCAGATTAGATTAATACCATACCATACCATACCATACCATACCTTACCTTACCATACCATACCACACCATATCATACCATACTATACCATGTCATACCATACCATGCCATACCATGCCGTACCACACACTCTGACTACTGGCTTCTATGGTGTGACACTCTAAATATTTGTTGTCACACAGACGATGTAAGTTCGATCCGTATGGGGAGGGTTTGCCTTGAATTGAATTGAATTGGTCGTAGATTAGCTTCAGTTTAACGCCGCTTACAACACAACTGTGTCATATAAGTTCCGAAGATTAGAGGTGTTATTAGAGAGTAATATACCTAAAAAATGAAGGAGGAGGGATCATGACAATAGAGATTTAATAGCAAAGGAAGCGTAAAAAACACAAGAAGGTCCACCAACCACTCATTTTAATGATCAAAATTGTGTCTTTTGGAGAAACACATTAATTGCCACTCTTTCTACTTGTACCATTTTTGATTCTTTAAAATGTCAGCTGAAGTCATTTCTGCTTTTAAATTAATAGGTTGAATATTTGGAGTGATTTTCTTTTAGTCAGAACATAGCGTTTTATGATACTGTTGCACATTGTATTGTAGTGTAAAGAACTCAGAGCCTGTGTGCTTTAATCGAGGTTGAGCGCTATTTAAATGTCATTTATTATTATTATTATTATTATTATTATTATTATTATTATTATTATTTATTATTATTACTGTGGCTGGCCCCGTCCCCAGAGTGAGATGTGCCCGTCCAACAGCAAGGAGTACGACAAGTACCAGCAGTCCTTCGTCACGCCCCGCCTCATCACAGTCATCAAACACGGCAAGAGGCCGCGGCGTGCCGTCAGACTGCTGCTCAACAAGAAGACGGCGCAGAGCTTTGACCAGGTGCGCAACGACGACCACTACCACTACTACAACCACCATCACCAACTTCACTATCCACCACCACCAACATCACCATTACCACCAAAACAACCACCATCACTGCCACTTCAACCACCGCCACTACCACCAAAACAACCACTACCAACATCACCACTACCACCACTACCACCACCACCACCGTCCCCATCATCACTACAACCATCACCACCACCACCACCACCACTACAACCACCACCACCGTCACCATCATCACAACAACCACCGCCACTACCACTACAGCCACCGCCACTACTACTAAAATAACAACAACCACCACAACAACCACCACGACCACCGCCACTACCATCAAATCAACCACAACCACAACTACAACCACAACTACAACAACAATAACAAGAAACAGAAACAACAGCGAAATAATTCCAGCAACAGCAGCAGCATGAAAGAAACCATATAATATTGAAACTTAAAAAAATAATAAGCATCATGATAATCAAGTATTAATAGTGTATCAACAGCGATAAAGTAGTGCTAATGCCTTTAATGTTAACAGTAATAATAAAAAAATATTATCAGTTTAGTTTAGTTTTAGTGGAGGGTTTTACGCGCTCTCAACTGCATAAGGTCACATGAGCGCCAAGGGGTGGGTGTCAACAGAGAAGTCTTTACAG